ACTCGATCGCTCGTGTAGTCGCGTCGAATTCAAATCAAACGAAGGATCCAACTAAGAACTCGCTCCGGTTCCGGTCGAAGGATCCAACGAAGGACTCGCTCCTCGCAGGTCGTTCGCATGATAACAAAGCTCATAAACTCCATCTCCAGCTTCGATTGACTAAACCGAGTTCCTCCTCTTGTTGCCGCAGCCCTGTTGTTGATTTTCACTGCTTCTTATTCCATCAGCTATTAATGGACCTGTACGACGCTTCCTCTGCCCAAGCATCTTCATCTTCAAAAGCAGCGCCAACATCAGCATCCTTGTTCAGTCCACAAAGCTTCAGACAAGCCTTCTATGAATCTGATCCAATCATCCCAACATCTGATCCTTCAACCATGACTGCAGCACACTTGACCGCAGTTCAGTTCCAGGAGGCTCTCCTCTCCAAGCAGGCACATTGGGTGGGGGGGGGGGGGGGGGGTTGGGCGAAACCCAAAAGAAGCAAGACCAAAGCTTACAGTAAGCAACCTCGGGCTTCGCTCGTCCGTGTCGTTGTTCTCGTGTCGAAAGTAAACGACCAACTGCAATCCAGTTTAAAGCAAGCCAGTTCAAACGACCAATGCCAGTCCTGGGTAAGCAGAGACCAACCGAGCGACCAGCAGCACGGATAGCAACCACACTGACAACACGAGCGATCGATCGCTCCGTGTTGTTGTTCACGTATGTGGTCGTCTCCGTCGAGTTAATGAAAATGTGAGGAGGTTTCGAAGAAGACATAACCCATGCATGACTCAGCCAATTCGAACCGATAATAGAGGGTGAAATGGCTTCCGAAGCATGACTCGAAGCCTGACACACAAGCCGAGCCTTCCATATGCAGTCGGAGCTCATTTTTCGATGAATATTGTTAACTCGATGGCGACCTCTGCTGTTAACTCGATCGCGACCTCTGCTGTTAACTCGATAGGTGAGGTGATGCAAAGCTTTGCCGGTGATAGATATAACAGCATTAGCCGTAACATTAGTGGCTACTGCAGCGGTCGAGATAATAGGATCCTCATTGAGATTATGATCGTCAATAGGATTAAGAAAGGTGGACTCACATAGGAGTCCATCGTGTATAGGATCCTCATCGCGATTTCGATCGACGACAGGAGATGGGAGATTGCTTACGAGCGAATCTAGCAGGTTGACAAGGGGATTGCTTGCGAGCGAATCCAAGGGAATTAAGTTGCAATAAGGGGAAGGACTACCGATGAAGATAATGAGAGGAAACTCAGGACTCTGCATCAAGGGATAGCTCATTCCATTGACAACCATGAAGGATAGACATATAAGAACAAGAATGAGTAACATCTCATAACCTCGCATGCTACCATGCGACAATACCATTGTGCATTGACTAGTCTAGGGATCTAAGAGATGTAAAGTTTGTATTTCCAAATAAGTGAGCAGTTATTGATTATTTTCTAGAATAAGCCTGCTAATTGTAAAGCTGTAAAGCTGAATTGTAAGCTGTATCCCGTCGCAGTCCTCCTCCATGGGCGAACGATCCATTTTGTGGCTACCCTCTGCCTCCACTTGCACCAGTTGCTGGTTTCCCTCCACTTGCACGACCAGTTGCCGCGATGGCAAGGGGCAATAACAGCAATATGCGCCCTCAAAACAAGAGGCCTGCCAGTGCCCCTACACTCCCAGTTGCTACAGCAGTAGCCAATGGAACTGTCTATAATGACAGGATGATCGCCAATCCGCATTCTACAAGAGAAGAGAAAAAGCTTCAGACCTGGTGGAGAGTTGCGAATGCTGTGTTTCATGAAAAGTTTGTCAATCGATTCTGCGAGCTTAACGATATCATGAAGAGGAAAGACTACGAAGCCGCTCATGGCGGAAATCCCATCAAAACCTTTTGGTTGGAAGTGTCGGAGTTCGTCAATGATACCCAGAACAATCCGGTGTTGAGTGTGGTGCTGTACAGTGATCCTGATGTCTACAAAGACGGTGACTGCGATCTCCGTCTTTCTGAGTGGGTGCTGGAAGAAGAGCCAAACCTGAATGACTTCACTCCTCAGACCTTTGCTTCGTGCCAACAGCTGATGAATGATGCCATGAAGGCCAAGAGTAAAATGCTTTGAATAGCAGATGCGGACTGTCTGGTGAATGCACAGTCAATGAAGGTGTGACTTATTGTACCAACAACAAACCTCACGAAGATTAGAAGCGTAGGTGTCCCCTGCTTCCCTCGCGAAGGTTGTATCTACTATTGTCATGTTCGACATGTCCCACCAACACACCCCATCCCCCAAAAAATGATGGAGGGGTTCGCACTCTTTTCCCTTGAGTTGCGAAAAAT